GAAGGAACCTAAGTGTCCAGCAACAGATGACTGCATAAAGAAGATGTGGAATAGATTGACAGGTAAAGAGAGAGAGACAGATCTGACAAGTGGTAGTTCTATTGTTATTATTATTATTTTTTTTGAGGAGCCTTCATACTGTTTTTCATAGTGAATGCACTAATTTACGTTCCCACCAACAGGGGCACCATTCCTGTCCGATGCCTTCCCCCCTCCCCCATCCTACCCAGTTACATGGAGATCTTCCTTGAAGCTTTGGTTAGGAACTTTAACAGGAGGAGGACTGGAAGATAAGATTTAGATTAAGTTATAAACAAACCACACACTGAATCCCAGGATAATGTCTGGGTAATAGCAGATGTTCAATAACATTTTTAAAATAAATTGAGAGAGACTCAAAGAAAAAGCTGACAATAGTATAACTAGAAGGTCTGGTAGAGAACAAAACTGGACAAGACAAGGTAGTATGTATACTTCCATGTAGGTATGTAATAAGAGTGTAAGTACCTCTTATTACAGGTAGGAACATTCCCACTTTCAGAGAGGCTTTTGGGGTCACCATAAAATGATGAGAAAACAAATGGGGAACTAGTCCATGAGAGGTCTTTGTGCTTTTGCAAAGAAGTTATTTTTGCCTAATGAAGGAATATGAGAAAGTGTCTACAATGAGACTTCGGCACTGTGTTTTTTTAGATAATGAGAAAAGATAGTTTATCAGCAGTTAGGTTTATAATATAATCAGATAATAGGAATTTTCCACGGGGTACAGAAAGAAAACGAGTCCTCAAGAAACTTTATCTAATACTCACTAGTATTAGGCAGCAGGTAACGAAGAAGATGATGAAATCCCACAGCAGAGCAGAAACCCAGTACACAAGGACAGAGACCCCACTCACAAACTGGATGTGCTTTGCCTTGGAGACCCTCTCACTCACTGTCTGGAGACAAAAGCTACTGATCAAAAGAGCCATGCCAAGATGTACATGTAAGGCCACTGAATCTCCACTTGTTATCCTACAGAAGAAGGTAAAGGTAGATATATCAGACAATCAACATAGCAGAAAATACGTTTCTATAAATAGCTTTTAATCATGTAAGTGTAATCATATATGGTGAGAAAATGCATGTAAAGTGTAAAGTTCAAATTTAATTGAAGAATAACATACTTTCCACTGGGTTCATTTTCAGTAGGGTGTGGCTGAGGTTTATTGGAGATTGTTAAGGAAGAATTAGAGCCAGAAACTGACTTGAAAAGAACGTTGTCTAACATTGCCAGGGTCAGAGACGGTGAATGATATGCTTGATTGTTGAACAGAGCAGTAAATATTATTTGATTTGCCTTCACCTCAATGGAAAATGCAACAATGCATAAGTGAATACAATCTTCATTTTCCATCAAGTATTTCAGTAGGTCACCTAGGATGAGGAAGCAATATTGATCTGTTTATCCACAATACAGATCATCTACAATATATATTGAAGAAGTACAAATAATTTTACTTGGTTCTTATCCTTTTCAATATTCTCATAATCATTATTTAAACATTTGCCATTCTCCCTAAGCATTCTATTCCATCATTAAATGCCCAAGCTCTCTCATTTCATAGCCTATAACCTAAACTCCTACTTCACTGATAATGTTATATATTCTCTCAACTTATTTATCTATCATGAACTGATCTATAAGTACTTAATCTTACAGATTTTATTTTATTTTATTTCTTATCTTACAGCAGACAAAACCTTCCTCTGAGAAAATAGAAAAGCTGGATTAAAAAAAAATAAGAAATCACCTACTTGAAGGTATTAAGATATCTAGGAAAGTAATCAACATGTGGGGACTAAGACCCTGGAAAGAATGAAAATATATTGAAGCCAGCTAAACAATCTATACCTCTTTTTCTTTTGAGGCTTTTTAGATTTGTAAGTGGTGGAGGTGACTTGGTAATTTCTCAGGCTTTTAGTAAGTTTCATGAAAGGATATACCCTAGGAATAAGAGTGAGTAAGATTCAGACCAGTTCTTACAAAAATGTCAACCCAACCTCAAATCACTTAAATCCTTGAGTGGATTTCGATATTTTCTTAATCTCACCACCTGCCAGAAGTTAAATAAAAACTCCTCTGGAGAAGATAACCTTACGCAGAATCTTTACAATTTTTATACACAATCTCTAACGTTCAACTTAAAAATTGCTAGGTATACCAAAGACAGAAGCAAGAAAAGCACAGGTAATAGAAACAGATGCATAAGTAAAGTTGGTATGAGAGAAAGAGAACTTACCGGAGAACCGGATTCCATATAAAGAATCAAAAGCTGATATTAGAGTTGAAAAAACTGATTATAATTAAGAAACCAATATATAACATAGAGCAGGCTGGACACAAATGAAGAGTAGAATGTGAACAGGAAGACAGATTGATTAGAAAATAACCCAGCTAAATGGACAGTGAGAAAGAGGGTGGGAAACAAGAAAGAAG